GATATAGATAATCTGCAGAAATAAGCAAACCTTTTTTAAAACCCATTTTAAATTATTTAATAAAAATCCATTCATTTATTTCTGTAGTAACCAAGTGCCTGTGCTATCCTACATCTTTACCATGTGCCTCAGAAATTTGAAAATGTCAGAACAAAATTTTAATGATGGCAGTGGAAGACAAGGATAATAAAGGAAAAGATCCTCTGTGATAAGGAAGCATACTATTGGCCCTCACAAGCTTCCTTCCTGTTTAGAATCAAAACAATATGAGTTCAAAGTTATGTAAGGTAATTTAAAGAAGAAAATGGTGCTGTTAAGGAGTTCCAATCCACTCACATTACTCTGCTTGCTAAACAAGATTCATATGGGGAACGATATGGCTCCTGCATCTGGACAATCAAAAACAAAAAAAGTTGGATTCTGCTTAGTTGTTCCAATTACCTGGTCAGACCAACTTTTGGGGACGCTCAGGAGAAACATCCCATCACAAAAAAGTGATGAAAAAACAGCATCCTGTTAGAGTTTGGTTTACCTGCATTATCATTTTTATTAATCTTTTATTTGAAGCAGCTTTTCTCACTTGGTAAACTCCGAGATAGTCTCGGTTAATAAGTAGTATAATTAAGCATATTGGTGTGGAAATTGAGTGGAGAAAGAATTCGACATCATCTACGATTTATGACTCACTGTTGAAATTCTCAACTCTGTACCATCAGAATTTTTCAGTTTCTCATTTTAAATTTTTTTAAAAAATTCAGGATAATCATTCATGTGTTTTTTTTTCATAGCAAAGAATAACCTTTACCTTGTATCTGGAAGGCTTGCTCCCAGTTTATAGTTTCTGGGTTCTCCAACAATGCCTGGTAAGCTTGCAGATTTTTGTAGAAAACAGCACAGGCATTTGTAAAGGAGTCTAGGGCATCACTTTTGGCCTATGTGTGAAAAACATCTTAATTCAATTCATAGTATTAAGCAGGGCTTTTTTTCTCATACAACGCCCAGAACGGAGTTCCGGCACCTTTTTTGGATGGAACCTTGTAGGGTGGGCAAGGCAGGTTGTATGACATGTGTGAGTTCCGGCATCTTTTTTTTTTTTTTTTAGAAAAAAAGCACTGGTATTAAGTATGCAGATATGCATCTAGTTTGTTGCTATAGGTAAGGGTCATAAAAATGAATGAGAAAGTCGCAGATTAGGGCACCGACTAGCTGCAGATCAGTAGGAGAGCCTACAAGGAACTGGAGTTAGGATACCAGTTGGGAATTTTCTTGGCTCAGGAAGCAAGAATCGGCTACTTTCAATCTGGAAAATGGTTAAGAAAGCCAGTGCAATCTTTATTCTATGCTGCCTATATATATATATATCACATGATATATTACAAAAAACAAAACAATTGAATTGAAAGAGCCCCTAGCCCAGACATGTCAAACACAAGGCCCGGGGGCCGGATGCGGCCCGCAAAGTGGTTTCATGTGGCCCGCGAAGCCATCCTGGAAACAGTGAGGGAACAGCCCCTGCTGCCTTGGCCCTGGCCCAGGCCAGCCGGGAGCCAATGTACAATTTTGTGGTGGCCATCTTGGCACTTGCCCCGGTCCCACCCCCTTCTGCCAGAGACCCTCAGATCTGTCCCACTCCTGCCCAGGCCCCCACAGGCACCCTTGACGCGAGTGATGTAGAACTGGCCACGCTCGCCCAGTAGGCCACACCCACTCCATCCACGCCCACCCAGTAGGCTGCACCCACTCTGGCCACATCCACCTGGCCCCCCAAGGGCAACCGCAATGCTGATGCAGCCCTCAGTGAAATTGAGTTTGACACCCCTGCCCTAGCCACTGAGTTCAACCCTACTCTATGTGACATAACAGAATTTTAGAATAAAAATGAAAGCAAGAGTAGCCAGGACATTGAATTTTGGAATTCTACATATTAATAAAGTACACATCCACATCTTTGGAGGACATCAGCTCAGGAAAATCTGTATAAATTTTAGATTAATGCTCACAACATTCATTGTGCATTTCAGGTTATTTAGGGTAGATCCATTACAAGTACTGTTTTACCTCTTTTTGTCGGCGAGTAATCACAGCTTTAAATTCTGGCCATGAATCCACAACCACTTCTTTTTTGAATGGATTTCCCCTATTTATATTTAACACTGCTCCATAAACCTTCAAAAAAAGTGGGTTTATAAAGTTTTATTAAACAAAAACACTTTTAAAAATCTATTTCTTTGAATTCTGTTATATTTTCAAAGCATTCACCAATAGGCACTATTTGCAGCTTCAATATTTATTGACATCTTTATTCAGACTAGCAGCATTTTCAGCTTTAGATACGTATCTTATTAGAAACAATATTAAGTGTTACAAGACAAGATGAATGAATGGGAAAAGGAATTAGAGATTTTCATTTTGTTTAAAATGAATTAATGGAAAATTGTCCTAACATTGATGTCAATAAATTTAATAGATCTTAAATTACGGCTTATTCAACAAAAAAGAATAGTTTATATTTACATGTCTTAATTGTATTTGTATAGAAAAGGAATAAGTAAATCATTCTGCTGGAGAGGTAACAAAAGCAATATTTCATCAAAACATTGAAACAATGGTGTAAGGTGTTATGTTCTAGGAAAACGATACTGACTTTACGATAGTTTAACATTTTCCGACATCCATATTCTTTTTAATTATGTACCTATTGAATGGAAACGGGCAGCTGGACAACAGAAATGAATTCTGAAAGCCATTCTTGCTGTCAAGGGACTAGTCTTTCAACATCAGGAAAATAAATTTATACTTTTCCTCTCCTCAAAAGTACTCCCCCAAAAGCATCAGTGAAGTCCCACTGCTATTTGCAACATGAATGAATTGCTTACAGACTTATTTAGGGATGTTTGCTATGAAATATAGTCCTTTTACTAGAACTCTTATGTAAAACCTTCTATACATGCAGGTAGTCATCAACTTACGACAGCAACTGGACTGGATTTCCAATTGTAAGTCATTACAATGGTAAGTTGAGGAATCCATGCGAACAGACCCGATTTTACAACATTTTTTGCAGCAGTCATTATGCAAATCACCACGGTCATTAAATCTGTGACTGGTAAATGAATACTGCAAATGTTTGTTGCCAGAAAATGCCAGAAACCGGCAAAAAAATATATATGCAAATCATGATCACATGAGCACAGGATATTGCAACTTGTTGTGAAGGTGAGCTGGTTGCCAAGCACCCAAAATGCAGTCAGGGGACAATAGGGAAAAGACGGGGAGTGGCACAACATTTTATGACAGCCAGAAGTGCTTTACAAGCAATAAAGCACTCATTCAGGGTCTGTCATAATTTCAAATGGTCATTAAGCAACTGGTCGCAAGTTGAAGACTACTTGTATGTACATGCATCAGAAGGCCTTATATATAGATAATCCTCGCTTAATGAACATTTATTTAGTGACCGAAGTTACAACAGTGTTGAAGAAATGATACTTACACTCAGTCCTTGAAGTTATGGCCATTGTAGCAATTATAGTTACATGATCAAAATTCAAGCACTTAGCAATCTACACACATTTATGACTATATATTATGATTTGACTTGGCGTCTGCCTAGGTTTCCCTGTCTCTATAATCTGCCACCCCGCACTGCGTGCACTGGCTCTGCTGCCCTGCAGTCCAACACCACAAACATTCCTGCTTCTGACCCCTGCTATGTTAGGTGCTGCAGCGTTCCTCTCTCTCTACTCTTATTTAAGATGTACAAGAAGCTGCTGGGCTAAATCATCCTTTCCCATGGGATGTGGTATCACCACACCAACTACTTATCTTCATCCCCACTGTTAACTGATACTGTTGATGTCCTATTTTGATTTCTGGAAGCTGTTAAGGACTGATGGGGAACAACAGATGTCAATTAAGCCCCCAGAAGACTGAGAGACTTTGGGTTTTAGAGCCTTCAGCATCTGAGGACTTATCAACTTAAAATGAGCTTGCACAGCCAGTTCTTCTGGATTTGTGAGTCCTGCTCAAAGAGCAGGTGGCAGTTATAACCAGAAGAGTCATTGCAGCTTTGTGTTGCATCCGTTACACTCATTCCTGGACTGGGAGATTCTACTGTTATTCATGCCACAGTCTCCTTCCAGATGGGTTACTGTAACATGCTGTACACGGGGCTACTCTTGAAGAATATCTGGAAGCTTCTGCTGCTACAAAATGCAACAGCATAGGCAGTTGTGTGTGCTCCAAGAACTGAAAACATTATACCTCTATTTTATAAGCTGTGTTTCTAGGCCCAATTTAAAGCGTTACATTGTGTGTAGCTGAGTTATTTGAGGGACTGCCTGCCCTGTTACATCTATCATCTCATCAGTTCTGGGGATACAGGTATATTATGGCCCATCAGCTTGAGTTTTATTGGGCAGACATAGGAGGAAAGCCTTTTCTGTTCTGACCACTGTCCTGTGGATCATTTCTCCTGAAGTAAGCCTGGCCTCAATCATATTGGCCTTCTGGAAGGCCCCCAAAACGTGGTTTTGCCAACAAGCTTGGGGATCCCATGATAGAGCCTTTTGAATGCCTGTATGCTAGGGATGTTTTGTTTCTTTATTTTTTAAAAATTAAATTGTGATTTTTAAGGTTATTATGTATGCTGCCCAGAATCACTGTTAGATGAGTGGCTATATAAATATGATAAATAAATAAAGTTTGATTTGCTCTCCTTTCTTCTTTTCATGTATTTTAATAGCTAACCTTAAATTATCTACATTACCTTGAGGGATTCAGGAAAATTCTTCCTTAACATTTGTTCTAGAGTCTGCAGTTTTGTGGAACAGTTAAGCACCAACATCTTCACTTGCCCATTTAACAGCAACCTAGTACAAAAGGTGATGTCTGGAAACAAAGAGAACTTTGATGGATTGGACAAACGGCATTCTGAAACATGTTCCTAGATTTTACTCAATGCTTTGTAAGATTAGCAATGCCTGTAATAAGATGATGAACTTTATCTTAAATTCTCTGTAAAGATGTTTCTAATTTACTACTATTATAAAGTGGGCTCTGAATATCCAATACCAACTCAAATTGTACCATAGACACAAATTCTCTCATGAAGCTTGGTAGCCTCAAGAATGATTTCTGTAGAATTTGTTACTTTGAAACAGGGTCGTATATATATATATTTGGGGGGGGGGGTATGTTGTAGCTTTGAATGGTCATTAAATAATCTGCCGCTTTTTACACCATTGGTTTTCTACTAGTACTTATTTATTAGATGATTGCCTTATGTCCTTTTTTCCATCCATTAATCAATTCTGTATAATTCTGAGTTTACGTACTGAATATATTAGTTCCTTCACTAAAGGCTACCCAAAGCAATACACAATGAACAAAAATTAGGCATTATTTCTGAAAAAGAAATATTACCCGGTACAGTACAGGAAAATGTTAAATCATATTGCCTTTCAAATTCAATGATACTATATACTAAGAAAATATATAGAAGCTTTGAACTGAGATGGTGGAAAAGTGCATGTAAAAAGCAGTCCCAAGTCAGCAACAGAGAAATTACGCTGCCTGGATGCAGAACTTATAGAGGAAAAAGCAATTCATTGGAAGTTTTGCATTTCAAAATTAAGTACTTTTAAAAAGATTTATCCATTTAAATAAATTATTCCTAAATTAGAGAATTCTGAACATTTAAAGCATTCATCTGTCTAGACAACCATTTCAAAGGCCATAATTCTAATCCTCATAGATAGCTGGAGCTGACCTCACATACCTGGAGTTGACTCTAGTGTCATTACTCAGATGCAGAACACAGCCAAAAGGAAGCTGAACTTTAAATTATATATAAACCTTCTAGGATGGGTCACTAGGTGGGTGGAAACTAGTTCCACTTGTGGAGGAGGGATTTGAAATATTGGCCAAATAAACCACAGATACATTTTGCATGTATTTCATTACACATGTCCTCCTCTGCAAATGCAATTATTCTTGCATTTATTGCAACAAAAGATGTTTCGACCTACTTTAAATTAGAACTGCTATTAAGCAATACAATCAAGTCATTCTTAGGTCTAAGCATTATTGCAGAATTCTGTAAATTGTGCACAACTGTGAAAAGTAGGCAGCTTCTCTGCCTTCAAAACATTCAGCTTCTGATATTTGACACCCATTTTCTTTTATATGTTTGGCAAGGAAAAGTTCTCTGTGTCTCTTCACAATCTTATTTGCCTGACTGAATCTTTTGTGGACTGTAGTTTACGAGAATATTGTCTACAACAGGAATGAGGACATTTTTTGCAGTTAGTGGTGCTTTTACAGGAATGTTTAGGAGGTAGTGTAAGATAGGGATGTCAATGAATATAAATACATTAAGCCTATCAGAGACTTAAGTTTATTTTATCCTTTAAGCCACGCCCCCCCAGCTACAAATTCATTATGCCCCAGGTTTCAGTAGAATGATTCTGAAGGAAGGGACATATAGACCAAAAAAAGGAAACAAGGGTCACATAGCTCTCTCTTATAGAGTGATTAAAAAGGAAAAAGAAACTTCAAAGAAAAACTCATAAAACACCTGTAAGAATATATCCCATAGAAATACAGGTAATTGTTTCTAGATTCATTTATTCTGGAATATAGGATTGTTGTGGTCTATCTAAAGTAAATTGCATGTCTATAGACATTTTTTATAGATAAAACATTTATATTTAAACTCAAGCTGAAATTTAGAAAAGCAGTACAAGTTTTATAGTGCTTCCTGATTAGGCAATAAACACCTTTTTGATTATTTTAAGGCAATATTATTTTGCTTCTTATAAACAGCTGCAAATTGTCCTTGACAATCCCAAGTCTACATACTTCAGTGACTTAAATCTTTATCCCAGAAAGCTACAAAACCACTGCAGAATAAAAAAAAAAATCAGATTGAAAAATTAAGATGCAATATTCTATTATAGAAAATGTAGATTTACAATCTGATGGATTTACACATTTTAGCTAAAATTTGTCTCTCAAACATACTTCCTTTACTTAAGCTTCTGATGTATGGTTCTATAGTAACCATACATAAAATGTTACCTCTGGGGATCAGGCTACTGTGTTTTCTTCATAGCAACATGTAAACAAATTATAAAGATATCTCACTGACAACACAATATTCTTTAGGTTTACATCAAAAAGCATGTGTTTATTTTTAAAATATACAACTCTTTCAAAAAATGGAAAAAAAAGACTTCTAGGCCAAGGTGATAACTACAGTAATTTCTGTCTTATTTTCCAAAAGTGAATATCCCTTGAAAATTAACAGAGAGGAACATAACCCTGAGAAAGAAAATTATCCTTTAAACTTGTTATTAAATCCAAGGAGAATAAGGTATTATTTTCTTTCAATAGTAATCTGAGTGAAGAATGATACCCTATAATTAAAATAGGGGTTTAGGCTTCTCCTATTTTTAAGTATTAATTTCAATATCCATGAGAACCAATTATACTTGAAAGGACAGGGCAACAGCCAATAACAGTTCTGTTGCTTGATTACATATAAGATTGGTCTCTTTTTAAATATACAAATAAAATTAACATTCCCATTAGATGTGATTGGACATCTTAATGTTCAGCACTAAACTAGGCTACTTCAAGCAACCACTGATACTGCCTGAGATCTAAAGGGAGAACAAAGACAATTAAGCACAGTCCACTTTAAAAAAATTTCTCCCACCCACCATTTAGAAGGAGCAGACTTACCATTGGTGGCCAAGTGGGCAGCTCATTCAGCAACAAGTTAGAGAATGGCATAAGGATTAATCTTTCCTGAAATTAATGTCACCTTCCCCCCCCTCCAGACCTATTTCTAAAGACAGAAATGGAAGAAGCAATTGCTTCTTCCATTTAAGATCTAGAAATTGAAGGACTGTAGGTTTCCTTGTCCAAAAATAATGCTGGTCGAGCTTAGTGTTGTTTTGACACTCATTCTTTCTCTCTCAGATACAATTCCAAGTGAAGAAAGATACCTGAACCTGCTATATACACTCTCTAAAGGACCAGAGTGAAAGGCAGAAACCATATTTTAGTTTAAGAATCCTGGAGCATTAGTCTCCCAAGGAATCATGTTATATTCTTCACTCAGATCCACAAAAATTTGCAGCTGAACAAATATTCAGTTCCAGAGGGAAGGAAAAATAAACTCCTACCCACTGATTTTTCAGAGCTAGAAACTTGTTGCTCATTAGCTCTAAGTTTAACTGAGTCTCCAGTGAAAACTTGTTTACGCTTAAATCAGCTTGCCAATGAGGTAATTAAATGTTATCTGTATTTGTACAGGTTTCTCAAGCAGCAGGCCTGCTTGCATCTAAATTACACCAGCATATTCAGAAAAAGACTACAACTCAAAACCAGGAGAATTTTTTATGATTGGTACTATATAGTAGTAAGTAGCCTAATATGGAGTACTGGTCAAAAGGCTTAAAAATCTTGTTTTGTCATCTAATCAACATGAAGAGTTTTACATCAAATCTTAATGGTAGCTACATTCAAAAGAATGGGACTAGTTCATTACTGAGAAATCTATCTGTTGATATCTTTACTCCAATAAAACCATAGATTATATTTTGTTAATTACACCCAAATTTTCCACAATACCCCTTGCAGAATGCAAATCACATTAGGAAAACTATTGCTTTCAAAGATTTCCTTGGAAGACGAAAGGAACTAAAGGTACAGGCATATTTGTTCTTCTTCTGTACATCTATCGTCTGACTCCACTTGGAAGTGCCTTTTCATATAATTGTTCTAGAAATGCCATCATATTCTTCATCTCATCTGATTGCTGAATGATATTCATGTCATCAAGAAGAGCTTGTGGGTTTCCAATCTTCAAAACCTCATTCTATAAAATAGAAAGTGTAACGGTACAAAATGAAATGAAAATGAATGGAATATTGTTTATTCAATCAGTAACATACATTCAAAACAAGTTAAGACTTCTTACTGTCGGGAAGTACTTGAAACATACTGCCGCTATTTCTACTCACCTGAAGAGGAGGTAGTTTAAAATACTCCATTGGAAGACCAGGAAGACCTAGGTCATCTTTAAAATATCTATTACGTAACTGGAAAGAATGGAGAAAACAATTAATGCAGACATAGAACATCAAATGTTTAATACTTTGCCCATACAAATAGTCAATCGTTAAGTCAAAGTACCCACATGGCCGTACCCAATTTTTTAATCAGGTTAATGGCAATCATTAAGTGAATCACATGGTTATCTGAATCCATTCTCCCAAATGGGTGCTGAAAACTAGCAAAAAATACAGACAGTCCTTGGCTTACAACAATTGTGCCCAAAATTTCCACTGCTAACCAAGAGGGTTGTTAAGCGTCTTTTGCTCCATTTTACACTTCTTGCCATGGTTGTTAAGTGAATCACTGCAGTTGTTAATTGTTAAGTGAATTTGGTTTCCCCATTTAGTTTTGCTTGTCAGAAGGTAACAAAAGGTGATCATATGACCCCAGGATACTGCAACTGTCATAAATACATGCCAAGCATCCAAATTTTGATTATGTGACTACAGGGATGCTGCAATCGCCATAAGTGTGAAAAACAGTTGTAAGTCATTTTTTTCAGTGGCATTATAACTTCAAATGGTTACTAAATGTAAGTCGAGGACTACCTGTATTACAAATTGTGGTCATGTGACTGTGGGATGCTGCAATCAGTCATAAATGTGAGTTGGTTACCAAGAGTCGTAAAGAACTATTCCAAGTCTGATGTAACATCAAACGGTCACTATACAAATATTTATAAATTGAAGATAACCTGAATCTGATTCTGAAAAAAAAAGA